AAATCGCGCATACAGAGACGAGACGCTCTTCACATACATGCAAAACGACGTCAAAAATGGTTTTGGCAAAGTAGCGTCGTGTTGAATTGGCCACTTTGAAAACCGATTTATTTGCAACTGATTAACACACAACATGCGAATGAAAAGTGGTTTTAATCGATATGTTGCCACAATTCAATGATATTTTAATGTTCGCATTTTTTGCTGCCTCCACCACATCATTGTGACCAACGAACGACCACTTGCTGTGCATGTGTGTTTGTGTGTGAGAGAGTTTTTTGGACATTAAATGACTTTAAGCATCATTTTTAAAAATTTAATTTAAATATTGATATTATTTCTGCTTACCAAACAAACGATTCTTTCAACGATCGAAGTTATTTCATTTCATTTGTGTTTGTTTTTTTTTGTTCTGTTTCATTTTCGATTGAACCTTTTTGAGTGCGTCATGTTGAGTTGATTGCAGCCACCAAAAAGGACAATATCTGCGGTTTTAATTGCGTACATCCAATTTATTTGTTTTGATGTGCAATTCTATAGAATTGCAAAAAAAATTATTTAATTCAAACAATTGCCTGATTTCAAATCTACAACTTAAAACGTCCGGAATATTTATGTTTTATTTTTATATGTTTGTTCCGCTGCATATATGTATATTGATTTTGCGCTCCCAGATGCTCGGGGGAAATGAGTTTCACAACTATAATATTTTCATGAGATTCAATCATTTGTGTATTCGAAACATTCAAATAAAATGGCGCAAAAGAAACAATTCAATTAAATAAAATGCTCGAATCAGCACGCATCTGTTTTTGTATATTGCCATTTTTTTCTCTCTCTTTCGATTATATCGCATATGACGAACGTATAATGGCAGACTATGCTATACTGTTGTTGTTTTCTGCTTGAAATCTAATTGAATTAAATATGCACAATGAATTAGTAGTTTTGTTAAATAAACGTAATGAAACAATATATGAAAAACAATAGGGAGCTGTGGTGAATGTTTTTGTTTTCATTGTGTTTGATTGGGACAACGTAACAACAAAAAAAAACCATCAAATTGACATTGATCAAATTATTATTTACTTGCTGTTCTGCATTTTTAGGTTGATTGGTCAATTGGACTAGGTAAAAAAGGTGCACATGAATGAACAAAAAAAAAACAAGTTGTTCACATCAAAGATTTAAATAATAAAATATTATTCATAAAATGGCTAATTCAATCATACGCTCCAATTATGAAAACACATGGGCATCATCAAATGGACATGAAACTGTAGAATATTTTGTGCTTTTATTTGTTTCATTGCATTTTACCCCCAATAGATTTGTTCAATGAGCTGTTGAGTTTCCCCTTCTCTCGCTTGCTCATTTGAATGACTGCACAAAAAGCGGATTGATTTGGCTATAGAGTATCAGCAATTTATAATAATTAATTGAACTAGACAATGAACACAAAAGTTCATTATGTGTAAAAGAATGCAAAATAACAAAAAAAAAAAAAAAAAAAAAACAAATCAACTATAATATTATAAAATATTATAAACGCCTCAAAGACCTGTTCTTGAGCAAGGTGTGAAAAACCGAAAGAAAAAGCCAAAGAAGAAAGATTTAAGTGAGTTTTGAACGTAATTTAATGATAAATATATTTTTCAAAAAAACACACGAAATTAACACGTAAACGAAGTCTTCATAAAATTGAAACAAGCATGTGGAAAAAGATCGAAAAACTGAGCTATACTATGAGGAGTGAAAAAAACTATCATAGATGAAACAAAAACTGCTCACGTCATTCCATTTAATTATATGGCTTTTTAAATTAATAATATCAGGTGTCAGAAGTATGTGTGTGTGTTTTTTTCATAACAAATGCTTTAGCATATGGGGTTTTTATGTTGGTGTTTTTTTTTTCTGTGTCTGCCAGCTGTGTGATGGCTGACAAACACAACGCAGCGCTTGTTAATCTAAAAAAAAGTTGTTGCTAATCTCTTTTCATATGTTTCTCTAAGTATACATATACCATGGTATGTGTGCAGGCTTTTTGCTATGTATCGCTATCGGTTAATATTATTGAATTAACACATATAATCCTTGGTCGAACTGAATGACTGCAAGACAGAATTCGGACTGTTTTACTTTAGTATATTTTAACGAAAATATAATTAATTTACTAAAAGGCCAGTTTGATGGCACATACACAAAAATAACAAACAAAAAATCAAATCGAATAAAAAAGAAATCTAAAAATAAACACTTCAAAATACACTGAGCGAAAGAGATTTACAACGAAGGAGTGTCGTGCGAATTGCGATTTGTGTTTGTATTTCTTTGAGATATATTCTAATCGAAAATCGACTGTTAACGTTTAAAAAGCAAACAAGGAAGCAAATAAATTTAAGCTTGAAAGATGACAAAAAAAGCACAGCGCAGAGATAATGTGCGATCCCATAAAGATTGCAAAGTGGCAACGACGACGGCTTACGACAAAAATCAGCACATACATCTTTTAAAAAAAAAACAGCCGCGATGCATGTGTTCCTTCTTTAAATTTATATTTATTTAGACATCAAATTATTCGCAATCTAATTCGTCGCTTGTGTTCGAAAAAGAAATGATAGATAAAGAGAAATTGTACTGATTATTCAAACATTTTTTGGATGAAAAATGGCCCAATGACTCACCATTCCAAATGTATGATAAATTATCAATTTGCATGCAAGCCAACGTACAGACAAAAAATGAAAAAAAAAATATTATGATTTTTTGATGTCCCAGCACGTCACTTCAAAAAAACCTTCATTTTAAATTGGAGTCACCAAAAGAATGAACGAGGGAATCAGGTACCTAGCCGGTTTAAGTTCATTTATGCAATGTTTACGTCAAATGGACATCGGGCGTTGTATAAACGTGTTTACTCAGTCACTTTCAGGCATTTGCCACGAATTTATTATTTCAGTGGCAAAAGAAAAGGGCGTTTTCAAAGTGTTCGAAGTTTTTTCAATGTAGCGCTCAATCGGAGACTTTGAGATATTGAGAAAAAGTAACGCTTTGCTTTCTTAATACTCACAAATTTATTTTCTCACTTTGCATTGAGGTGCACTCACTCACTTTTTGCATCTTTTTCGTTTTCAAGTTGTTTGTTTGTTTGTTTTTTTATCATTGTAGAGCAATGGTGCTCTCTTTCTTGTGCACTCAACTGGCTGAATCAACGAACATTGATTTTAAGAAGACATTAATCCTTAGATCGAATTGGCAAGTTTTGTTTATGAAACGAAATGTCCCACACAAAATAAAATATTTTAATATGTAATCTAAACAGTATGCTACACCCAATCACCTTTCAATAAATAGCTAGTTTAAGCGCTTATTCTCAACGAAATACAGATACAGGGTATTCCAACATATTCGTTTTGTTATTAATTTTGTATCTATCAAATGAAAATGTAAAATGTTGTAGAGTAAAGATATTTGTTTTGATTAAAAAGAAAACTTTGGTAAACTTCTTATTTTGGCGCACCCTATATGTATGCATAGCGATTATGAGTCTAGGGTCTATACATCCACATCAATTGCATAATCCTTCATAATTGAATTTTAATCAGCATTCATTCGGTACTTTTTTACCTTTAAAATCGCTTATGAAAATAATAAGCATATTTTCGAAAAATTGATTGCTATTCATTAAATTAGATAGACTAATGTTTACTAACAAACTTATAATATACTCAATGATCAAAACCGCATTATCCACTGCCGTGGCTTCGGTTCATGCGTTTACCCACTATGTATGAAACATGGCAATTATTTATAATTGTTCAATTTAAACTGACAATTCTATTTGCTAGCACGTTGCGAGCATAAGCCACTTACGTGTAAGCTCGCGCTGGCGCATACACACTAGTAAGTGCCAGCAAGAGTGTGTGTGAGAGAGAAATCTCATTGAAACCTAACTACAAACGAATGAACGTGGTAAAGAATTGCAAAAAAAATAATACACACAGTTTCCGACCGCGAAAAAAAAACACATGAAAAATACAATCTTTTAATTAAATAAAATTGAAAACAGGTTCTGAACGAGCAACAAAAATTTAATTAATTAATTTCAATTCTTTCGCGCGCTATAAATAAAGAGCACATTACATGCCGCGCTGCGTTCAATATGAGTGTATATGAGCGTAAACGAGAAAAAGAATCGGACGTTGTTTTTATTTTCTCTCACTGTGAGTCGAACGATGGCGTGAGATCGACCATTGAAGACTGAGGAACTGACAGAATTGAATAACAACAACAAAAAAAGTACGGCACAATACAAAATGCACGAAACAACAACAACATCACACTATAATTGATTACCTCGAAGAGATCTCGGCTTATTGATAACTGTCCAATGCACAGATATATGCCAGTCCATTTGAGTTACGTGTTATTACATTTTCATTATGTGAAATCAATAAATTGAACCAATTTATAAAGTATATATGCGAATTTATGTGCGCATCAACCATTCATTTAATTAAAAATCGTGTTTTATTCTTCTCGTTTTTATTTTTAAATACAAACAAAAACTCATTTAAGAATGTAATGCGAAGAGAGTTTTTATTGAACTCGTAAATATATGAAATATATGTTATTGGTTTTTAGTGATGTTTCGGATAACAAATAGCCCACTACGAAAAACCCACACTTAAAATATTGACTGTGATGCGTGTAATGAAGTGCGCATTTCCGGCGGAGATTCTCCGCTAAATGCAAAAACTATTGACGTACTTGAATGTATACATTTTTCGAGTTAATTGCTCTAATAGCGGCTTCAAAACGACGGTTTTATGGATGCAAAAAATGAAAACAAATGCTTGATTATTCATGAGAAAGCATAAAATATTACCCCGAAAAAGCGAAAGAAAAAGAATTGTATGAATAAAGTAGTTTTAGTTTTGTTTGCAACATAATGTTGATGTACGAAGTTATTTTGACGTTTTTTTTCTGTTTCTTTCCAGGTGGGTGCCACTCAGTCTCTCTTTTTCTGCCCGGTTATCAATTATTGAGAAATGAAGTGCAATTACGAATGATGATGAATTAATTTGTTGAAAGGGTTGAAAACCACTCATCCGTTATCCATGGTAAAATTTTACACCACTTTTTGAAAAAACCAACAACATTCGGCATATGTTTCGTTATCCACCAATTATATTTGTTGAAGCTATACAAAGCATACATATTAAAATACCACACCAACCTACAAAAAAGGAATAAAAACAATACTATGTCGAATGTGAGCCAAAAAATATGAAAACACAACAACAACGAACAACAGCACTAGCATTTTCAGTTATGGAAAATTCAAAAATCATGTTGATGCAAAAGGACGACGACGACGTTCATTGCCTGTAAATGAAAAGAGTAAACACGCACCAACATCCAAACATCGGTTGCTTGTTTACGATGAAATTAAATTCCATTTGCTTAATTAATTAAATAAAAATGTAATAGATGAAAATTTTCCGGCAGATTAATATATTACTACATAGTAATTATATTAATGAAAAACATAACTAAAATGATAAAATGATTCATTTCGTCTACATATATGTTGCATTGAATTTAATTTCGGAAATGGCACATAAAATCGATTTAATGGGTCGTTTCATGATTTTTCGAATTCAATATATGTATGGATGTGCATGAATGTGTGTGTGTCTGTATGTGTAATATGTTCTGTACTTCTGTGAAGAGTTTCACTACTTGAACAGTGCATATGGAGAATAAACGAATGAAAATAACGAACGGAGAGAGAGACGGCCAAACCAAAATACTTCTAATCTATCCATCTATGGGCTCGTACACTCAATTTGCGTTAATTTAAACACTTCCATGCATTTGCACCCAAATCGATTGAGTTAATTGATAACAGCCCATAAAGCCCTCTTTTTGTTGAACAGTCCACATACTTTGTTCTCAGTTTCTTTTTGAATGCATGCATATAAACCTCTTTTCAGGCACCATTCAACATACGCCTTGATTATTTCATTACAGCATGATTTTAATTTAATACTTTTATGAAAAACCGCTTCATTTTCCGCACTCTCAATTTCTCTTTCTCTTCGTATGTCACACGCAAAATCACGTTTTTATGGGTACTTAATAAGCGATTAATCGGATTGAATTCCATTTTTTTTAAAGCAGTGAGATTATAATTATTCGACAGCTTCGTACTACGAAAACGATGCACAATGCTTTCTTTAATGCAATCCAAATTTTTCAACACGATTATAAATGCTTGGAATATAACCTGTTTGTTTTTGATAATCACATTTTAATGCGAAAGGTATGATGGCAGGAGTGAAAGACCACAAAATTCCGTTTAATCTTGTAAATACAAGTTTTTAGTCTAATTATAATGTCCCTGTTTTGTTCATTAACTGATTAAGCAAGCGTAAATTGTACAATTACATTTTCGTTGTACATATTTAAGCGATTTCTGCACTCATTTTGTCTGCAGTGGTATATGGAATCGCTGTAAGAGTACAACTCAATTGATCATTTTTTAATATATGCACACTTGAAAGACCTTTTTGTAAAATGTGTCAACATCAAAACAAGTTTACCCATTTTCTCTAGTCCTACGAAAAACTTGACCAACATTTTTGCGATAAAAAATAAAGTAATTATTCCAAATGTTGAGAATGTGCATTTCGATTGCAAACGAGTAATTCGAATGGAAGTTGAACGCAGAAAATAGAATTCAAACCCGAATTCATATTGTAGTTTTCTCGAGGAATGAGCTGTATGTCGTCGTGTGGTTTTTTGCATATTGCAAAAACATATACACAAGATGTTTACACGTATGTATCGAAGTGGTGTTTATTAATATTTGATGGCTGAAAGGTAGAAAATTTTCGGTTTAAAGTTTTATAAAAAATAAATTGGTGGTTAAATGAATCACTAAAAACAGCATGCAGTTTCGGGTCGTTGTTTGTCTTTCCTCCCTCACTCTCTTTGTCCTCTCACCTATCATTCTCAGTCTCTTACTTTCCACTTAAGGATGATGCTGTTGAACGCCGTACATTCAATATACTAACACGTACGGTCAGTATTCGAATTGAGTTTCGATGGTTGCACATCGCCTCTCAATTTTCCGTGAAATAAAAAGTTTTCGTTCGTTTATTTTGCTTTTCAATAGACGAAATTCATAGATATTCGTGTATATTCACGTTGCATCAAATATTCATGAGAGTGTGCGATGTATGCAATGCCTGCATGTATTCATCAAATTTTCAATTAGGAAATCCCTATGGCATACGCCAACACGTTTTGCTCTCCAAGTCGAAATAGAAACCATCAACAGAAAATGAGAAAACTGCACCAACCAACAACCAACCGAACAACCCAAGCGAACAACAATCGAAATAAACAACACTAAACAGCAAACAGCACAAGTAACAGTAGTTGCAACAGCAACAGCAACAGCAACAGCAGCAGTGCATATACATGCATTAAGAAAATGCCATGTTATGAACTTTGTTTGTAATCGTTTACATTAAATGCATGAATGTTGCAGTTTACTGCTGTTGCTGTTGTTGTTTGTCGTTTCTTGTGAAGGAGACAGAGCGGTAGAGAGATGAGAAAACAATTTCCAATTCCGATTATATACTGAAAAATTGACTACCACATCGAAAACAATTTTCTATTAGTCAAATGAACCACAATTCGGTAGTTTTAAGCATGATACAATCATGTCACCTGACCCGATAATTTCGTCAGCACCAATATGGTATTGGCAATACCTTTGTTTAGCTCTATCGCTGCCACAAAAAATCCATGCAGTTCACATTACCACAAAAATATGAACAAACTCAAATTACACTTGATTATATTCTTTAAAATTGTTTTAATTCAAACGATGCTTTCTTCGATGGAATTTTCTGCATTCTCATTCTTTACTTTGCAAAACTTTTCAACGTATAGCTTTTCATTTTGGAAATTTTTTAGCATATAACGAGCAATTTTCGACTTCACATTTTGTAATTTTAGATGGTTTGTTTGCTCGTTTTTTTTTCTTTGCCAAACAAAAAAAGCCATCGCTGTACATTACCGATTTTATTATATTGTGCGTATGAAAATGTTGTTGGCAAATTTCTCATTTTGTAAATGTTCGCGAACGTACACCCACTCACCCCACATAAATGTGATTGGAGTTGGTTTCAAGCGAAATTTATGGTTTTTCAATTCTGTTTGATATGTTTAGAATTGAATTTAAACACATACACATAATAAATCGGCACACAATAAAAAAATGTTGTTGCTCTTTATATGAATTCAAATTATTACGGCAAATATTTTACCAATGGTTTCTGACAATTTTCCAATTATTATTATTACCATTCGCATCACATTAATCAAAAATGAAAACAGATGCGTTTCGCTCACTCCATTCCCGGTATTAATTAATGTTATTATTAACACATTTCACAAATTAGGTATGTTGGTAGAGATTAATTGATATTTTGTGGCCAGAGTTCATAATAGTTTGGTTTGATACTAATTAAATTTTCTAGACTATATATGACTCGTACACACGTCACGTTCGCTTTTGGTATTTGATGATGATACAAATATATGGATTGAGGTTTTGTTGCGTTGCGCGCAGCGCCTAAATTTGACAAAAAATCATTAATGCAAAATTATGTGCGGACTCATATATTGAGCTGTACAATCCAACAGCCGAGACAAGTGAAATGAGAGACGGGCCGCTGAAATGGAGTATACATATATGAAAAATGAAATATGCCAAATTCAAACTCGATAATTGGCCAACTCTTGCTAAATGTCCCCCACCCCACTCCGCATGTCTCTAATTTGGTTCTAGCTGTGGTTTAACGCGCATATTTCCATGTACAATTTGTACATTCAAATATGATTGAAATTTGTTGGTTTTTCGGAGAGAATAAAAAATGCGCCAATATTACATGAATTCGTTAAAATGATTTATTTGGTCCTTTTCTGTTGCCAATATGCATAGTATTTATTTCTCATTTTCGTTTCAATTTTTCGGAAACAAAAACCGGTAATATCTAATTTCAATTTTTGGTTTGAGGTGAAATTTGAAATAAAACCCAAATTTCATTAAATTTTAGACACTGCTCCCCACCGCGCAGATTAATGAGATTGCTGTTTGGGGATTGAGCACGCACTCCTGTAAAATATAGGAAATGGATTCCGGAATCGTGTGCATACATATTAAAATGATTTCGATGGCAACCGATGTGATAAGAATGTCGTGCCAACATTGTATTTTATGTGTTTATGTACTGTATGGAAAGGTGCACTTAAGTGCATCCATACACAATTACACATACACAAAGTCAGCTGACTTTAATGATGTATTTTGCACAAATGAAACTTGATGTGGAAGCCAGCAATTTGCGGTTCGACTTACTCCGTACATCTCTCATTCGTGGATTTTGAAGATGTTTTCGTGTGTTGTTGCAAAACTTATTTAATAATTATTACAGTATAATGCCATGAAAAAGTCCATTATCAACTTTATTACCGACTGAAAATTAATTAAACGACGACATTTGAATTAAAATAAGGTGCTTCGCAAAACTTTTTCTACACACATACATGTGTGCAATGTGCAATGCATTGCATGTACACATACAGAACGAACATTAGAGAAGGAATGAAAGATAAAGAACACTTGACAAATGGAAAAATCGACGAGAAAATGAATTTCAAAAATAGAAAGGAAAACTTGTGGTCCTTTTCCATATACACACTATTCTAAACATTTTGAAATGTTGCAACTGAAAGCAAAAGTGCCAATTAAATATTTGACTTTTCTAAACTCTTAGAAACTTCATCAAAATATAAACATTCAAACCATAAATTACTCACACACACACACACACACACACACACACACACACGCACACACACATATATTCGATTTTGTTTTCTTGCTTCGGCTTCGTAGAAGAAAAAAAGATAAACGAAAACAACTTCAAACTAGTATTGCCTTTGTGTCTCGGCTCCCAAATTATGGACGACATTTTCGAAACTTTTTGGAAATGTTGCATTTGAAAATTGCAAAACATAAAATAGTAACACATTACATTACACCAGCGGCTGTGAGAGAAACGAAAAAGAAGAATGAGAACAGCAAGAAGAAGAAGCTGAAAAAAAAAACAAGACGAAGCGTAATATTCAGTCCATCGGAAATGAATGCGTTAGCAAGAAATGTTCATTATCAAGTTGGAGTTGGCTGTTATTTGCAGATTGTTTTGTAGTTTGCGCGAACACGAGCATCCTATAAGCGCAGCAGTGTCAAGCTCGATTCGGACATTAATTACAAGATATATACACAATTGTAATTTGGCTCAAGCGTCCAAAAAACAATGATAAAACCCCATCTCATTCAAGTCGGGTCTCATTCCGTTTCAGTCTCCAATACCATTTTCTCTCTTTCTCTCTCTCTCTCTTCCCATACCAAGAGAAAGAGATAGCAAAGGCTTCCCCTAATTTCAACTACTGCCACTACTCATACATACTGTACAACATTGTGTTTATAGGTTTGTGCGCACATTTAATATCACATAAATTCACAATAATGTTTCATAATATAATCCCTTTGTAGCGAATTAATGAAATAACTTTATAATTGTTTTCTCTCAATTAAATCGTATATGTATCGCTGTGTCTGCATTTGATGCATACATATATTATATACGTTATATGTATTATATATTATGAATATAGGGTTGCTGAAATAGACACAATCGCATAGTTTCCACTTTCAAGAGAATTTCTTTCATTTCGCCTCGATGAGTTGACGTAAAGCAATAATAATTTGTGTATGCAATAAATTATGTAGCGCGCATTGAAGGCGAAAAATGAGAACGAGTGAATTTATTAAGAAAATGCGAGAATTTTCTCCAAAAGAAGAAGAAGAAGACGATGAAAAAAATCAGCTGGCCAATGCAGAAACCACCATTTGTTATAATTGCGTCAACAAGCAAACATACATAAAATGAATTTTGATGGTTTATCGTGGTATGGAAAATCAGCATTCTCACTCATTATTTGCCTCTTTCGAGCTTGTTCCATCATATTGGCATTCAATTAAATTAATAGATCGCAAATTTTATTCGATCTCTCTTTTTTTGAATTTTTAATCGAAAATGTCGACAATTTGATGGGAAATATTTATGGATCGTTACTAAAAAAACGGCAACAAAAATGAATTAAATCGGCGAAAAAAATCATGCCATTTCGAAAATTCGAAGATAGAAATTCCTCGAGTGAATGGAAAACCGCATTGAAATAAAACGTACGGCACCAATGCATTCAACATTGTACACACGGACAACCATAAAGCAATTCGCTAATTTGGTACTACTCAGTTAATGAATAATTAGCGCAAAGAGTCTTATTAAGTGTAGCAGCGCGGCTTTATGCGCGCTTGTAATTTTCTCTTTTATATCGCTTTTTCCTTCAATTGAATTGAGTTTTTCGTAACCACTCTTTCGCTTGATATCGTTCCATTTTTTGCTGCTGCTGCTGCTGTGTGTGTGCCTCTTTCCTTCGTTGTTCTTTCTCCGCACTGTCTCTTTTCATTGTCGTCGTTGTCGTTTTCATTTTTTTAATCGCTTTTTATCAAATTGTTTTATTGCCAAAGTGTAATTGGGATGTTTATACGTTTTCTGTGTGCACTGCCATCGATAATTGATGTGGATTGAATGCGGCGCACACGATTCGCGTACATAACATTTTACAATGTTCTCTCATGTTTATGTATGCTTTTTGCATTGCATGGGAAGAGACAGGAAGAGAGCAGGCGTTGTGTGTATTTTATTGGATTTTGTAGCCATTTACAATGACGAGCTAACAAACCTTTTACAGAAAATCAAGAAAATTAGCAACAACAACAACAACACAACATCAACACAGTGAAAGAGAAAAAAAATTGTGTACTAGACTCTCACATCCACTCGACTCTACGACACATGTAAAAAGCCAAATGAAGTGTGCACTTCGTGCACTTAAATACCAATTTAATAAGTTTAATTAAATTTTGCTGTTCATTAAAAGTTTTTTTGCCTCATCTCATCTCGCCGCTGTCGTCGGAACCGTCTGAATGCTGAGAGGCTCTCTTGTTACTCACATAGACACAGAAATATATATATATGTACACACACAATTGTACCGCTTGTGTGTTCATCTCGTATTCCATCCAATTTCAATTTCGTAATTTTACTCGTCGTTAAGCTCTGCATAAACCGTTTGCTATTGCCTTCTCCTTGCTTTTCCATGCATACTCTACATTCCGTTTACCGGAATATGCTGAATGAAAAACAGACGTATATCGCTGTTCGCGTTACGAACAACCCAACCGAAATGTATGTATGTGTGTGTGTGTGGGCGAACTGGAAAAAAGATAACAAATAAGGGAAGCGACGAGAGAAGGGAAGACTATGAACCCCCCAACAACTAATTATGTATATGGGCATTTATAAATATAAAATACAACTCATTATACGTATACTGCTGCATTACAGATTATTCATTTTGAAAAGTGCTTCTCTTTCGATATATTAGAGAGCATTTGCGTGCTACACATATAACATGGCAACGCGTGCAAAACACGAGCACAAGAGTAAAGGCGAGAGACTGAGACGCAAAAACGTTCATAGCTTGATTGCTTGCTCGCGCTCTCACTCACTCACACTCACTTTGAATGGCGAATTCGTGGTGTGTTTAAAGTAAAGTCTCTCCACATCTAGATGTGCGAATATACAAACATATATTGCGTACATACATATGCGTTTTTAGAAGATTGGAACCACGGAGCACATTGTGCACATTAAATCCCCTTTAATGCTTCACATTTTCAATTTCAATTAGAAATAAAGTGCACTTATCGACCTACAGCGTCAATGCTAGTTTGACCAAGTTATCAATACAACATAAACTAAACACGCTCAATGTAATATCTAGCTCTTTCGCACACTTCTGTTCTCTATCTCTCCCGCATAATTTCATCAAAACACTCGTCGAATATCAATAATTGGTCGGCTTACATTCTCAATTAATGCACGCATAACATCCTTGTAATTTCTCATTAAATAAAATTTATCTGTTTTTTGTTCTCGTTTCAGTTTTCACTCTTAACTGACTTAACTACACTTCTATCCACACATTGCGAGTAAGTTTTAATTAATGCCCACTTTTGAATCCTTTTGACTTAAAATTGAAAACCAGACCATTGTATTATTATTATTATCCTAAGTTGCCTTCAATATAAATTGGATTACGATGATTATTATGATATGTTTGATGAAAGCCAGAGAGTGTGTCACTTTATTTGCATGACTGAAAGAACATCAAACAATTGCTCGAAAATCTTCGGATTTCAAAATGACTTTATTATATTGTAGTTTATGCATGGATTTTCCATAATGGAATTTTATAAAAAGACATAAAACATTATCTTAAAAGATCAAAATCCAATTGGTCTGAGTGAACAAGAGCGAGCCGAGGGCTGTTATTGAGCTCCACTTTTTTTGAACTCTTCAACCGAAGAATTGCAATAATACATTCGGTTAGCGAGAGTAAAAAGAGCACGGACGATAGTGAATCAAAGACACAGAGAGAAGGAGACTGACAAAGAGTAAAACTTCTGTCTTGAAGGAGAGAAACTGTTGCGAGGATATATAGTGGAAAAATTGCGCGCGATTCCACGAAGAAACAAAAACTTTGCCATCGACTGTATAGGCAAAAATACAATTTGTGAATTGTATTTACGAATATGAACTATTCCATCTATCCGTCTCCTCGGCAGAAAAAAAAGCAGCAAAAAAATGGCATTCGATTTGCAAAAATGTTTTATATGTGCCAGCACAGTATTCTTCTTGTTCTCTAGTCTCAGTCCAAAAGCATTACATATATTACACATACATATACTTGCAATTCAATATTATTATTATTTTTTTCTTCGCTGCCATATCCGTAATGAATTAGAACATAAATATCATATTGTGTTCGAGTGAATTTTCAGAATCAAAATGCTTTTCCGAAATGTTATCTGGTGTGGAAGTGGGGCGCGAGTGTGAGCAAATGCGCGCGCGGAAACAGCACGCATCAATAAAGTATGTGTCTGACTGTGTTCACAAATGTGAATTGCTGTTCATGGCTGATAAAAAAAAATCAACGAACGGAACCACTGTGCAAAAGGGATACAAAAAAGCACAACATCAACAAAAACACTAGATGCGAATGATTTTAATGTATTTGCTAAATATATAATGCTTTCCCCGTTCGAGCAAATCGATGAGCGAAAAAGAATGTTTTCCACGTGAGTATGTGTGTGTGTGTATCTATCTCTAACGGTGGCAATAGAGTTTGTCGATTCATTTTTTGCTCACCGACATACTGGCTGTTGTGTGTGTGTGCAGATTCATATTACGATATTACAAGTAAACAAATTGTTGGCAGTGCGTTACTTGTTCAGTAGCAACAGAAAGCAATTTAGAAAATTAAATCAATACCAATATCGCATATAGACGTCGGTAGACGTCGTACGTCGATGTGTGAATGCACGTAGCATTCACTCTTCGCAGAATGTGGATGGTCTTGCTTTTTGACTATATATGCTTGTGCTTGGCACACTGCTAGATTATATATGTGTGTTTTTTTTTTTTTCTGTTTGCTTGGAATTTTGCATACCAAATTTCGAGAAGTTATACATTCCTCAGCTCACCTATTTTGCGTAGATGGTCTAGTTTCTCGATTCTCATTCAAAGCAAAAAAAATCGTTTTTAATTTTTTTTTCGCAATGATTTTTGATTGAATTAATTTCAATGTTGTTGTTGTTGTTTTTTTTCTCATTTAACGGCGAAAAAAAAATTCAAATTATTTTCAGTTCATAAATTTCCTGTGTAGCTGCAGCAAAAAGTATGCCAATGGTCGTTGGTTCCGGTTTCAGTTCAAAAATGAATGCGAAGCATTGCACAATTGAAACCTTCAATCAAAATTCACCTTCGCCAAGAAGCCCAAAATGTGTTCATTGCACACAGGAAATTAGTTTTCACATGTGCTTTAATCAATATCCTTTCTCGATGTCCGGGTCCGTGTTTGATTACCACATTCCACAAACCACGTCTCTCTCTCTCTCTCATACACACACAAACGTTCGCCGCTTTTCTATCCTTCACCCGTTCGCTACCATCCCTCTTTATCATATTTTTTGAATTACTGATATATGTTGGCAATCTAGTTGAAACTAATTCATTAAAAAAATTGTTCCAAGTGTATCACACACATCTTTTAGTTTACGATGCAGTTCAGTTTGGTTCTCTTCATTCGTAGACACGCGACTGCGGAATGTTTTCTTGTTAAACCCAAATAAACATAAATTGGTGACTGTGTACCAACCGTATATATACTATGGATATGGCATAGAGTCGAAATCATCTATACATCTATATACGACAGTTGCTTCACCAGTGAGAGCGCTTGTCGTAGTTGCATGCAAGCATAGTGTATGATATTATGCATGCCGCATCATCGCCGTCCTCGATGTCGTTGTCGAGGCTGTCGTGTTCCATCCATTTTATCGCGTAAGCGATGGTAGTCTAACATTGATTTCCTTTTAGCTCCTTTCTGGTAATTAGAAGTTTTACCAAATGAAAAATTGCATATGAAAAAAGTGGAAAGAAATGGAAATGACATGGCACGCGGGAAACGCTCAAGAGAATCATCATCAATATCATCAGCAGCAGGCAAATTGTTAGTAGTTAGGCCAAGGATTTCGTAGCGCAAACAAAACCACCCCGAATTAAATGGCAAAGATAATACACACATATGTTGACTAGAAAATAATAATAACTTCTGTGAAAACAGTAATAAATTTTCAAACTGCCAGAAATTCACATGCTATGATTTATGCGCAAATATTAATAATTGAAGATTTTCCGTTGTGCGATTTTTATTATATTTTAACATGCATCTAAACGGAGTCGAAGCCGCCAAATGTATATACAAAATGGCACAACAAGGCGTCGTTTTCTCAATCATATGTTGGCATATCGTATGTATCGCAGTAAGCAATTAAAGGATTTTGTGATGATTTAATACAATATTTGGGTATTCATTCATAATACTATTTACTGTGTTGAAATCCAAATTGTACGAATGAGAGAGAAAAAGAGTGCGGAGCAAATATATACATGTATTTGTTTTTCATGGCGGCTTTGATCTATCTTGGCAGATAAATCACATACGATTCTATTCGAAATAGTTCTTTTGTTTTGGTTCTATTTGTTTGTTGCACCCTCTACACTTCGCGTGTAATTATGAGCGTTCTGATTTCGAAGGCGAACGATTTGGGAAAGGGATATTTGGCACATTCATGCGTTATTGTTGATACATTATGCTTTATATGTATGTATACACAGAGAGAAAAAATTTGGTAAATGTAAAGGGTAATTTGTAAGTTTAATATTACTTTACCAAATTACCGTACGAATTCTACCATTTTGTCATATTTTCAAAACAAACGACACGAACAAATTAAATTTACCCCAGCATAATATTACATTTACCAATTGCCGCGTAGCAGTCAAATCATACCTAACGTCGACATATCATCGACTGTGTTATTAAATTCTTCGTAATGAATTCGACGATTTTGATTTCACTTTTATCGACGATTTCTGTATTATTCATAAACAAATTATTAAAATTTGCCAATCCCAATTCTGATTTGATCTCTTCGCTTTTATTTTTTTGCGGACAAAAGTTCACGCGATTAGACATGTTGTAGGTTGTGAACAATACGATGATATGTCGACGTTAGGTATGTTTTGACTGCTACGCGGCAATTGGTAAATGTAATATTATGCTGGGGTAAATTTAATTTGTTCGTGTCGTTTGTTTTGAAAATATGACAAAATGGTAGAATTCGTACGGTAATTTGGTAAAGTAATATTAAACTTACAAATTACCCTTTACATTTACCAAATTTTTTTTCTCTGTGTATGTATAACAATCATTGTGGCGACGTTGTTTGCTCTATTTTTTGTCAAACTAGATCAAATCCAATTAATGGCAAATGATTCGTGTAAAATGGCATGAATAAATTTGATTTATTTACACAGAAATTGACAATCAAAAGGACAGCGAACGAATAAAAGTTGACAATGGCTTTTGGAAGTTTTTTGCTGATGGTCTCTATCACTTCAATGTTTTTTAGAGACAATTCCATTAGTTTTAATTTGGTTGTTGTGTGTGTGGCGTCAGTACGTCGATTTTGTATATGTGATGACGTATCGCTCGATATTCGGCTGTTATACCATTGGCGGCTTCATGTAGCTTTTGGCTGGATCAATTCAATTTTTACTAATCATCCAAATTGTTTGCATTGATTTTTTCTTTCTTTCTCTTCTATTCGCTCTACCATGAACCACACTTCCGATTCTCTAGAATTGAAAAATTCTATAGAAAATATTACTGAATCTTCAATATACATTATACATACATGGTTAAACGAAGGACACTTCCGCAGAGCAAAAAAAATATGCAGAAAAAACCGATATAAGCGTTGGATAAAGTGAAACTAAACGAAAAGGCACGCCAATATGAATGCAAAAAATTAAGATGAAGTAATGGTCGGTTTCATCGACTATTTGTCCGGTTACTTTAAATTCAAATTCAATTGCCTGGCTGCTCTATTCGGGAGGAGATTTTATTTGAGAAAATACTGCATCGAACTTACATGCGCACATAGTTATTGTGTTAAACAATTTCATTCGTCTCGCCGTATACACTGACATTTACTTTCCAATCGAGGACTTTGCATGGCAAACAATGTCTTGCAGTTGTTTAGTTGTCTGGGCAAAAACAGCATGGGAACAAGCTTACATCACTTGAATAAATATTAATGTTTTTCTTGTTATTCACTTTAAATTTTAATTTGCTCCTTAATGAATTTGCTTTATAAATTTTATGAATAGATTGTATTTGTCCTATAATATGAAATTCAGTTGCACAAATTCGAAGTACCTCTATTAGCATAGCACAGAACACATATTTTCATTTGGGTTTTATCGTCAATGTGAACCATTTTCCGAGTATATGTTATGTGTTTATTTGCAGAATCCCACGTAAATTACCTCTTGTGTCGTATGTGTGTACATTGAATGGTTG